TTGGATGAGAGAATTTAAGAGGTAGCTATTAAAAGGAACCATATTTTTACACCAACAAAGAGCTATATGAAACAATAGGCTTCTAGGACTTTAAGTGTAGAGTTTCTTTGTCTAAAAAATCCTCGAGTTCAATCCATTCCAAATCTTCCAAATAACCGGCCTCACAATGAATGACCAAATGATATTCTCTGTCGACTTGATGGATGATCCATCAGATGCAAATTTAGCCAATCAAGAGTTTCAAGGACTAATTTCCTAAATCAGTACTCCTTTGAGATAGGCGCTAACACTCCTCCTAAGTGATTAAGCATGTTGGCCAAATCAAAATTCTTTCCTACAATTAAACATCCCGGTTTCTTGTTCTTCTTTGACATTCTCAGTGGCAGATGATAAAAAATAGAGGTGGTGGAAGTTGAAGATACCAAAGGTTCCCTAACTACTAAAGTATTGTAGTGATTCTTCTATTGTCGTCTCTCCCCTTTCCTTTGTGGCATCTTTTGAATGACATGCTAGGGTCTTGATAGAGGTTAAGTGTATTAACCCACTGAATTCAGAATATACGTTTTCAAAACATCTACATATTATGATTCTGTTTGTATCAAGTTTTACTTTGCTCTGGATAACTCTTGGTTTCTTCATTTAATGTGTTTATATCTAGAGACAAGTGTATTCATCTACTCGACTTTTCTACATGAATGGGACGGGCCTTTATGTACATTAGGAAATCTTCTAGAGTAATTTAACTTAGAATTCTGTGGCTTATGAATGACCTTTTCATGATCCTCTCTTTGCATCTTTGATGTGCAACTACTTACTAATGGTAAATCTATCATTCACCACCAAATCAGCTTTTTTCAAAATGTATATTGATATGTAACTACATAAGGATGCTCGTGGGAGGTGTAAGCAGAAGAAATTATGTACTCTACCTAGCCCATTTGTCAGAAAAGGTTATGTTTAATAAGTTCCACATCTATTAATCCTCATTTCGGTTAACGAACACACCTTTCTAACTTTGTCATAATCCAAACCCAGTCTCCCAGTTGTGTACCGAACAGATTCCTTTTCAGCCTAACGTCCCCCAAGTTCGGACTTCTTTCAAGCAATCAAACCAGTTATCTTCCTAGATTGAGATCCTAAGCCCATTCCCTATCGTATTAAGCAAACCATTTCGGACAAACCTGTACATCTAGCAAGAACAGGCCAGGGGCAGAAGGAAGACTAGGATACGTGGTTTCATTTGTTTTGCGAGTTCCAGGACTTCAAATTTTAGAAGTAGGAGTGTTATATAATCATACTTGTGAGTATAAAAATTCTTGTCATTATTTATTTGAAGCTGGAAATATCGATTATTAGGCGTTTTTACTATATATGTTTGTTTTTCCCTCTTCTGTCTTGGAAATTTAGGTTTAGGAGGACGTTCAACTTTCGATGAGTGGCACCTGATCTCATCCATTTTTGCATCATATTCATTATCATTCTGAAAGTCGATAGTCTTCTTAGTTAATATTTTCGTGTTTGGTTGTATTACATTACCCTTGCCTGATTTCCTTCTATTAATGTTGTTTTCATTAGTGCAACCATGGCTATCTACGATGTCGTACAGCTCGTGAGGGCCGATGTCTCTACTATTGCACTAGGCATTGCAGCCTCAACAGCTTCCATAATCCTCGGCGGTGGCACTAAAGGAAAGCGTCTCGCAATGCCTAATGCACGTATTATGGTTCATCAACCTCTTGGAGGGGCGAGTGGGCAAGCAATAGACGTGGAAATTCAAGCACGTGAAATCATGCATAACAAGAACAACATTACAAGAATCATCTCCGAGTTCACTGGTCATCCATTCGAAAAGGTCCAAAAAGATATCGATAGGGATCGTTATATGTCCCCCATAGAGGCTGTAGAATATGGATTGATCGATGGAGTGATCGACAAGGACAGCATTATACCTCTCGTGCCAGTGCCAGAACGAGTGAAGGCAAGTTTAAATTATATAGAAATTAGCAAAGATCCCAAAAAATTCTTGTCACCAGATGTCCCCGACGACGAGATATACTAGTTTCAAGCGTTTCAATGTACCGTTTTCTAGGCTTTCGATTTATATGATTCACTTGTAGAATCCTATGTGTGAGCAAAGTCATGGTAAGCGGAAACCAGAAATATGCTGGAACTTGCTGAGCTCATCACCGTCGTCTCTACTTACCAGAAGTTAAAAAGGTATTGGGAATTTGGACTCTTTTTCTATCTATGACATTATCAAATGAGCATTCTTGAGAAAGGAAAACTTAGCATTGAATCATATTTTGTATTGGCAGTGTATATTTGTTGATTGATTCATGAATATCGTCATTTTTTTTAATCGTCATTTGGAGATACGGTGATTTAATCCTCTTATCTCTTAATCGAAGATATTTGTCTCAACCAATTTAATTATGTTTAGGTTCTTGACATCTTGATCGAAGAAATATATCTTAATTAATTTAATTTTGTTTTACTTTGTAGCAGCCTAAGCCTACCGTGAATAAATATTGTCCGTTTTGGCTCGTTACGTATCTCTGTCAGCCTCATGGTTATAAAATACGTCTATTAGGGAGAGGTTTTCACACCCTTATAAGGAATGTTTCGTTCCCCTCTCCGACCAATGTGAGATCTCTCAATCCACCTCTCTTGGGGGCTTAGCGTTTGTTGGCACATTGTTTGGTGTCATTTTTAACAGTCTAAGCTCGCAGTTAACAAATATTATCCACTTTGACTTTACTTTCCTTCGACCTCTTTACTTAGACTTCAGTGAAGGGGTGGTTAGGTTTAAGTCTGACGAGAATAATATTCTACAACGAGCAATTCATTTATTTTCAAACTTACCCATTTAGTATCTATTATTTGATTGACTAATCCTTTCTAGTCAAACGTTTTGGCAATTCCTGAAGCGGGATGAATCAAAATAATTTTAAATCAGTACTCTTGATTTGTTTCATCCTTTGCTGTAATAATATCTCGGGGTTTGCAACGATAACTTGCTATATCCACTATACGACAGACACATTTTAAAATCGTGAGGCTAACGACTGTACGTAACGGGCCAAAACAGATAATATCTGCTAGCGATAGAGTTTGGTAGCATTAAAATCCTTACCTTTTGGCTCAGAAACTTTAGTTTGACTATTCCATCGATTCAAACCCTCGATTCCTCGACCTTATTACATAAACTCACAAACAAAACTTTTTTTTCCAAATTAATTTGAATTATAAACATACATATAAATTTACAATATCAAATTGATTACTTCAACACTCTTCTCATCTCCACTTCTGACTAATTATTTAAAAAAAAAAAAAAAAAATTCTGACTAATTATTTTAAAATAAAAAAAAATATAAAATTTACAATTTATTTAAACAGTTATAAATTATTGAAAATCTTGGGACAATTTAATAATAAAATAAATTTAAATTTATTATTATTTTGAAACAATTAATTTAATAGAAGTCAATAATTGTACATAATTAAACGTCTCATTTCAAATAAAATGACAAATTTGATCTTTTACAAATTATTAATATTTTATGTGTGAGAGAGTTGCTTAATCAATCACGTCTAACACGTCAACATTTTTTATTTTAATAATGACGAAATAGACCCTTTCTTTTATATATATATATATCAAATAAAACGTTACATTTTCAATTTAGTTTATTAATAGTATTTATTTTAAAAAAATTAAATAAAATATGAGTATACTTTAAGTTATTAATAAAATTTAGAAACTAAATAAATACAAATAATTTAACGTTAAAAATTAAATTAATAGCACGGAGCTCATAACGATAATCCAAACGCTTAGCTCCACCTTCCTTAGCTCCACCTTCCTTATGATAGATAAATTAATTTAATTTTTAATCTTAAATTATTTGTATTTATTTAGTTTATAAATTTTTATTAAATATTAAAAAAATGTTAAATTTTCAATAATGTAAATAATGACTTAAAATTATATTTTCATATTTTATTTATTTATTTTAAATAAAATACAATTAATAAACTAAATTGAAAATCTAACGTTTTATTTGATATATATAAAAATCAAATTATATTGAAAATTAATTTAATTGTTAACGTTAAATTATTTGTATTTATTTAGTTTCTAAATTTTTATTAAATATTAAAAAAAAGTTAAATTTTGAATAATGTAAATAATGACTTAAAATTATATTTTCATATTTTATTTATTTATTTTTAAAATAAAATACAATTAATAAACTAAATTTAAAGTCTAATTATAAAATTAAATTTTAGATTGAATATATCAACTAATTTTTTTTTTTTTTTTTTTTAATATATATGATTTTTTTTAGTTCAACGACATTTGGAGCGGGAGAAAAATATGACATAATGAGCATTTTTCCCGTGAGAATGAAATTTGACATCAAATACGTGAAAGTATGACTTATTTGTTATCGTCAGCCCGTACGTGAAAGTATGTTTCTGTCACTAACACCAAAACGTGTTGTACCTATCGTCAACAAATAATATGACACGTGAGTAAAAAATAAGTACTTAAATGAACCGAGACCACGTCTAAATTAGAGTAATTAGGAGGGTAGGATGACATAATGAACATTTTTTCACGGGGTGAATGAAATTTGACATATTTTCTCACGTTAAAGCTGTAAAACCCCTTGTTACCGTCAACGAACATGTGAAAGTACGTTTTTTTCCTTAGTTTCAAACCTGTTGTACATATCTCTCATACTCACCTTCTTTCTCGATTCGTTCTCATTGAGAACGAGAGGATGAGACACGGAGAAAATAACACGACACCCAAGTAAATGAAGGTATATAAATGAACGCAGACCACGTTCAATTTTGATGTTAATATAAATATTATTAATTAATTTTTAAAAATGTTTTATGTTATTAATAATTTTGTACAATTATTTTTTATAATATTATTATTGAATAAATATTTTAATTTAACTGAAGTTATTCAAAACTTGCCGCCATGCTTCAGCTCAAGAAACTGTTCACTTTAGGGGAAACGAAGAACAAGATTTCCTTCATCCGGAGGAGCAACAAAGCGATGTTGAAAATTTCTGTAAAGAATTCATTAACAATGGAACAGATGAAACCTCAATCAATGGATGGATGTGAAGAATCCGAACGAGAAACCGCGTAATTCGCTCGTTGATCGAACAGGTCGGCTTCTTTCAGGTCAGAAACTCGAAAGGCCTTCTCTACTGCAGCATACGCTAAATCATGAAAGCGCCATTTCAACGGCTTCATATTTGATTATAGAGACAGTTGCTATTGGCCATTTTCATGTCGCCGTCACGATCTGGCTCTATCTCGTAAGTATTTTTTAATTTATTCATTATACTTTTAGGTTATTTTATTGTATTGATTGAATAAGTCCTCTTTGCTTGTTTGATTGAGGACTTAAATATTGGACATACCTTTTCAATTACAACGACGTCCAATAGGGAAGAAATTGTTTCTTATACTCTATGTAAAACGACAGATTATGACATGGGAATCTCCAACAAAACCCAATACTAATGGATGCTTCAAATCTTTTGAAATCACATCTATGTGCCTACTATTTGCTGGGGATTTTGAATGAGCAATAATATATCCCTCTGCAGCATCCTCAAATACACACATTTTGATTACGTCTGTTGTTAGTTCTAAAAAGTTATTACCGGCCTAGCTGCTTGTGATATTGCTTGGACGGTGTTTTGGGGTTTGGTTGTCAACTCTCAAATCATATGAAGTCAATGGTTGTGGTTTGACAGTATTGGGGTAGTTCATATGTCCTTATCACTATTGTGGTGATATATTTAATCATAATTTTTGGTTGAACAAATGCTCCCTTTCGGGTTTGTGATATTCTTATATAGTTATTAGTGCCCACCGGCTTGAAGGGCTTCCATTTATTCTTCTGGGTAGAAAGAGTTCAAACATCTTGAGTAGAATGATTATTTCTTACTATATGTGCAAGAATTCGACAGAAGTTCTGGGGTTCTGAAAAGATCAAACAGAGTAGGCTGCTCAATTTGAGGTTTTTTTTGTGTATGTTTCTATTTTGTTGAATTTGGGGATTTCAAAGGATAGCCTGAGCATATGATCCTTTTCAAATCCTGTATTTATATGTAGAATTTAGGCCTCTTTTTGTCTCGAAAAGATCCAAAGATTATCATAAAAATGGAAGGAAGGGGTGTATCAGAATTATATAGAAATGCAAGTGAGGAGCTATTTCTTAAATCTTGGGGGGAAAACTCAATCGGAATGTCAACACCAACCATGGAGATGATGGGATTTAAGAATCTTTCTCAGAGCTTCCGTACAGATAGTGAGGAACTTTTCAAAAGCTGGCTAACAAATGGAGAGGCAAGCAGCTCTATTATCTATTTGGCTTTGTTTACTTGTCGTTGAAAATAAAGATAAAACTTTAATCTGTTCATGAATTGCTGAAACTGTCTGTAGTTTGCCCTGTTCACACTTTTAAACAAAGTTGCAAAGAAAATCAACCTCATTGGCGAATGCCTTATATCACCGTATCTCCTTCCTGGTGCATTGTGTGTGAATCTAGTAATGAGTCCCCGTGCAATTTATTCATGCATTTCCCATTTTCTTTTTGGTTTTAGCTTATATTTTGGATGGTTTGGTTGGTCTTTGCCTTTCCCCAACAACACCTCTGATCTCCTTGCTTCTATTTTGTTGGGTCATCCTTTTCATGGTACTAAGAAGGTCATTTGGCTTGCCATCAGTAGTGCTTTTTTCGGCACACTTCGGGGCACAAGGAATGGTCGTTTATGAAACTTGTTCTATTGCTTTCCTCTGGTGGAAGAATAAGTCCTCTTTTGCTCATTAAAGCTTTTCTTATTTAATCTTCAATTGAAGTGTGTTTTTTGTAATTCACCTCTAGGCATTTGGAGTTTTTACTCCTCTATTTCATCTATCAATGGAGTTGTTTCTCTTTCAAGCAAAGAAAAGAATTTTGTTATCAAGATTGGACTTCACTGTTTACAACCACTTTTTTGATTTTGATCCTTATTTTGCAGATGCTTTAACATTTTTGTGTAGAGCTGCTGAGTGTTAGTAAAAGCATAAATTAGATCTTTCAACACCTTCACTTTTTTTAATTTCTTCAGTAACTAGACAACATCAGATACTCTGGTGGGCATGGATGACCAACCCTTGATTTTCAAAATCATATTTGTGATGTTTCCTGTGTCAGAAAAACCAAAATGATCTATTAGGTTATTGATTCTTAATGTGACTTCATGGTCATACTTCCTAGTGTGATGGAAATACATCTGATGTAACTTAGAAAAAAAATCTGCACAGATCATTACTTTCTTTAGGCATGATGATTCTGATGTAAAATTGTTCTTCAATCAAAGAAATATACCACTGTCTCCAGAAAATTCACTGAAATTTATTTGGATAACATGGATAAGCTATGCAATTGTTTGAGTAAGAAAAACATTATACGTTCAACATTGTTAAGTATGACACACTAACATTTCTCTATCTTTTCATTATACAGATAGATTTATTTTCTTGACTTAAGTTAAATCATTCATATTCTGAAAACTTGTATGAATATTTTGCTGATCTATTTCTTTTTTCAGAACGTCAACAACTCATCTGGTTCGGCTTATCGCATTCGACAAGCATCAAGAAGGTTGGTATGTCAAATTAGTACACCTATAAAATGCTTATGAGGTGAATATGTCTGATGTCTTGTTTTGATTATGATCGGTTCTCCACTTTTTAACCAAACATCAGTAGCGGTAATTAATTTTATTTGGATGCTTGGTAGGTTGCAAATAAGATAAAAGCAGAAACATCTGTTTTGTTTCTAAGGATATAAATATTATCAATTCTTCCATCTTTTTATTTTGTATAATTATTCTTTATGTTATTTATTTATTTATTATTATTATTATTATTTTTTTTTTTTGCAGGATTTCCTCTGAGATTGTTGACCTGTCTAGTCCTCAGTATGTGGGAAAACATCAAAAGAGAATAAGCAATGATATTTTACGTCCACAAAGTGCCTCTGTGGCTGATGATGTCTCAGGAGTTAATCAACAAGTGTTCAGGTTTGCTCTTCAATTTTTTGAACCTCCGCTCTTATGCTATTGGTAATATTTCAATGGAATTTGCTTGTTCCCCAAATTCTTTGAGCATGAAAATTAGCTTACATTTTAAAAGGTGAATAGAACATAAAGGTTTTGGCATCTCTCCTTTGTTGGATGATTTATAAGTGTTTGACTTTTTGAACTTCTTCCAGGAATATTGTTGAAGGAGAAGTGCAAGGTAGTAACCTATATCTTGCTAAGGTTTGTTAATCTTCTCTTCAAAACTTAAGGCCAATAAAGCACATCACAACCTTTTAATATCTCACGTTTTTTTGCAGGCATGGTTCCATAGTTCTCAACCTATGACAAGAAGTCGATCATCCGAGCTAAGGTAATCATAGTGTGGACCAGTCTTCCACCATGATGATAATTGAAATTTTTTATAAAAGAATGTTTTGCCATTTTTAATAATCTTATATGTCATCTTTTAAGAACTCGTGAAGCTAAATTTTCAGATTATTTCAAGTTTTTTCCCCTTAACATGGAACTTGCTTTCAGAATCCAAATTGAAATTGTAGAAATTTCGAATTTCTGCTGATTATTTATTGCAGCCTTCCTTCTCTAACGTCATTCACTGTGGTATTGATGATCCCAAATCTATGTCATTGATATTCCCTTCTATCGAAACTTGATTTCTATTGTAAAATGTCAATTACGTGGCTGAACTTATACTTGTCTGTTTTTCAATGCCTTATTTATTAATGATATCTAGGAGGAGGTACGCTGCAATGCAAAGCAATCAAAGCTCATTTGGTATCCAGTCCATTTATGACTTGTCAGGGCATGCAATGAAATTAGATGTTGCATACTCGCAGGGTTTCAATGACCTTTCTACTTGTGAGGTTCCAAACCAGCCTGTAACGTTTGCATCCCCATCCAATTCATCGGCATCGACATTCAATGCATCTACCATGTATGATGTAGATAAAATTTCTTCAGTTGTAAACATGCTAAAGGACACAATAGAACGGAAGAAGCTAAATAATCAGATTGATAAAGAGGCACTGGAGGATAGTTCAAACGCACATTTTTGTGCTCAAGAAACTATTGGCCACTCTAGTTTCAATAGAAGCAGTAACAATTATTTACATCAAACACCAAACTATCTTCTGGAAGTCTCTCCTGTTCAAGTCAAGGATAATAGAATTTTGGAAACGGTTGGGCTATCAACAGATATTGATTTCAAAGCTTTTGTAAATCCTGTAAACCCCGTAAATCCCGTACAGTCAGGCAGAGTTTCTCAAGAGCCTTCTCAAAGTGAATCTTCTGCTGCAGCAGCAGTAGTTTCATCCGGGTTTGAGGCATATGATGGTCCTAGCAACTCAAATCAAACTCATAGCAACAGTGAGAGCTCAAGGAAACAAATTGAAAATGGATCTCGATCAAAAGGTAGCCAATCTGTCCAATGATATATTTGTCGTGTTATTCTGTCGTTGGTGATTTCTACTCTGACCTTGTTGGCCTTGTGCATGGATGCATATCTAGTGATAATTTTGGATTTTTCCTACCTCATTCTAGTGGTTAGGAAAGTTCTTGATTTCCGGATAGCAACATTTTTGACGCCCATATAATTGTTCACGGCGTCATATGTGGTTGTCATCAGAAAACTTTTTTAATTGTAGTGGAGTTATGTATGTTTCAAATCGTAAGTGAATGGAAAATTTCCTAAACTTAGGTTACTTATGGATCCATCAATTATTTTCTCCCATGTCACCAACAAGACTGTAGGCTGCATTTGTAGAGGCCTCATAAATTTGAGTCAAGTCGCTTGACCACATTGACTAGTACACTGCGGAAACACATCCATTTGTTTCTACTATTTCAATTAACAAGTTTTTTTTTTTTCCCCCTTCCTTTTATGTAATTCAACTTTCATTCTATGGAACTGCAGATTTCAGAGAAAGAATAATAGACAACTTGAAAGATGATAGAAAGGTACGCTCTTTTTCAACATGGTACAAACCTTTCAAATTATGCTATTTTTGCTACAAGCTTATAGTCAGAATAAGCTTCTTTTGCTGTCTATTTTGGCATTTTATTGCAGAGGGGAAGTCTAGTCCGTAATGGGTCCGTAACATCAGCTGTTTCAGGTATCACTTATGTTTTAAACTACAATTTTATATACCTATGATTTTCGTGCTTCTGGGACATCCAATAAATTTGGAATGATACAAAGAAGACTGGCCTTGCACAAGGATATATCTACGCATTTCCTGTCATACGCCTCAGATGATGAACACATAATCACAAGTTTTTTTTTTTTTAATTGTATTTTAATAACCTAACTCCCATCAAGAACTTTTATTGAGAACATGAAAGAATAGACAAGAACATACAAAAACACACACACACACACAACTCACGCTAGAGGAACCCCAACCTACAAACAGGGCTTTCGGTCCAAAAAGATAATACTTAACTGATAATTACAAAAGGAATTAGAGGCCACTACCACGAGGGAGTATTAATCTAATATTTTTCCAAATGACTCGGTTTTACTATGTACGGAGGCTATATTTCTTCTAGTCATGGAATTTGAACATTCCATGCAACAATGTCGAAAAATATCGGCTGTGACTCAGTTTTTTCATGCCGAAGACTGATCAACCCTTCTAAATATCCTGTCATTTTTTGAAACCAAACACACCACAAGATTGTTAAAAAAACAAGCCTGCCACAAGATCACAAATGAATCCTAATGAATCATTCTAAATTAATTATATTCTGCTAGGGCTGGTGTAGTCTTATATTTAGTATCAGCTAGAGATGTTCTAGTACAATCACCTTCCAGGGAACAACTTGCTTGCAAAAAACATGGATTACTTCAAGAATGATAATATGCTCAACCTTTATTTCTCTAATTTTATTGTTGATTAATTTATTGGATGCTCTGAAGTTGTAATTGATTACCAATGTAAGCAAAATACTTCTTATAACCACTAAAATTCTGGCAGTGGACAAAGGGGATCCCACAAAAAAGCGCCGGGTGGAACGATCACGAAAGTATGTAGTCTCTCTCTCTCAATATGCATAAATTATGACCGCAAAAATTCAATTCTCGCAATTGATTAGATGCAAATTTTGTTTAGCACTCATCAGTTTGGGGAAAGTGACAGGCTTTTCTATTCTTGTATCGTATTTGTGTGCAAATCTAAGCTCTAAAGTGTGCAGAATGGCAGAGGCGAAGGAGAGAAATATGACACCAACTATTCCATCAGATATGCAATCAGTTCTGAAGCGGTGTGATACTCTTGAGAAGGAAGTGCGGTCACTGAAGCTCAATTTGTCCTTTATGAATAGGTAAAGCTTTATATATTATCACTGTTTAAAAAAAAAGCTTTATATATCATGATGACATTCCGTTTGCTGAAAGGAATGCTAACTGTTGAAATTCTCTCTGGTGGTTCTGACTTCCACAACATTTGCCAGATTCATTCTGGCTTCCATTGATCTCATCTCTTGCTTTTGATTTCTCTGAACTGTAAAGATTTTAAGGACCAAGTTCTTGATATTAAATACAGGAAGGATTCTGAGCAGACTAAGCAGATAGAGGATCTTCAAAAGCAGAATGAGGACTTGGCAGATGAAAAGGAACGCCTGCTTGAAGAGATTGAAAGGATTCTCTCAGAAACTGGCGGAATGTAAGTGTTATATTGAAGCTTTTATTGGACTGTGAGACCCTATACTGAAGTTATGTACAGGCATAGCTATAAGCTTATATTTAAATTGTTGCAGTTAAAAAACTCGTAGTTGGACCTTGGGTTGGGTCGATCGGTCTGCCTATGGTGAGCATCGGTTGGCTCGTCCCTTCTGCCGACGATGCGCTCCTAGCCTTAACTGGCCGGGTCGTGCTTCAGTGTAGGGCCCAACAGTTATGTGCATTAGTAGTTTTGGGACTTTATAACTTCTCATCTCTGTAACTCTTAGAAAGTTCACAAACAGATGGTTAATTGGTTGTTTGCTATTTGAGAGTTGAGAAATGTATGAATGTCCTGAACATTCGGTGACCATAGATAAGTACGGGCAGATTAGTGTAATTTGCTTCAATCTGTTGTGTTCAGTGTTTTCTGTTTGGCTTGTATCGGCGACAAGGCAACCATTTGTTAGTTCTTGAGACTGATAAGAACGAAATCAATAGAACATTTAAAGTACACAGATTCAAAGTATGAGATCTCACGTCAGTTGTGGAGGAGGAGAATGAAACATTATTTATAAGGATGTGGAAACCTCTTCTTAGCAGATACGTTTTAAAGACTTTGAGGGGAAGCTCGAAAGGGAAAGCTCAAAGAGAACAATATCTGCTAACGGTGGGCTTAGGCCGTTACAAATGGTATTAGAGCCGGACACCGGGCGATGTGTCAGCGAAGAGGCTGAGCTTCGAAGGAGGTGGACATGAGGTAGTGTGTCAGCAAGGATAATGAGTCCCAAAGGGGTGCGGATTGGGGGTCTCACATCGATTGGAGAAGGGAACGAGTGTCAATGAGAACGCTGGGCCTTAATGGGGGTGGATTGTGAGATCCTATATCGGTTGGGGAGGAGACCGAAACATTCTTTATTAGGGAGTGGAAACCTATCTTTAGCATACGTGTTTTAAAAACCTTGAGAGGAAGCTCAAAAGAGAAAGCACAAGACAATATCTACTAACGGTGGGCCTGAGTTGTTGCACAAACCAAAGCTCGTGAGCCAAAAGTATTTTTTAAACATAACTCATTCTATTAACGTACTCGGTAGTTTCTTTTCACCTTTGCTACCCATGTTTTTGTATATAATAAACTAATTGTAACCGTAACGTCGTATGACTACTATTCAGTAATGTCTTATGACTACTATTGAGTATTATCAAATCATCTAAAAATAATATGCATCTTATCGGTATAGGTAATAACTATCCATTTTTTAAGTCTTTCTTATCATAACCTCATATCCTATTGCTAATTTTTATTCAGATTTGATCTCGATTCATTCATGCTTCCTTCGTTTACTCAGATGTTACTTGTACACTAGCTCGTGAACCATAATCTAAACATAAAACCCGTCATCCATGATTATATAATAAGAACTAGGAGCTTAATCAAAGTTGGAATGGATAAAGATTAAATTAATTTTTTCTTTAAAAAGTTCTAATTTTAATTTTTAATGAAAACGTGAGAAGTTGAGCACGTGGGACGTGGAATCACTCTCGAGATGCGTATCGTGGAAGCTGAAGGAATATTCAATTGGAAATACTATAAAAGCCCATGTCCTTCGCCGCAGAAGATTTCGCGGTTTCCGTCGCAAATCCATGGCGCTTCCCCACTTCCTTCTTGGGGCTATATAAATTGCTGTAACTGATCCCCCCTCGTTCTCCCCCAATTATCTTCCATTCGGTTCATCATCTTCGGATTCAATTCCAATATCTCCGATTGAAGTCTCATTTTTAGAGAATGAATTGAAGTCTTCGTTAGGTGTTCTTGAAATGGTAGCATCAATGGCGCCTTTTAAGCTGACGGAAGGAGCCGTGATGGTGATATGCAAGAGAGAATCGTCGGCAGAGACGTTCCAGCCGGTTGTACAAGTAATTGACTTAAAATTGGTTAACACTACGCAACAATCGGGCAGCGAGAGGTATAGATTGTTGCTTTCTGATGGAACTCATTACCAGCAAGGAATGCTGGGCACTCAGCTCAATGGATTGGTTAAGTCCGGGAAGTTACAGAAAGGTTCCATCGTTCAATTGCGGCAGTATGTTTGTAATCCCGTTCAAGAACGCCTGTAAGTCTTCCTATAAACTGAATCATTAATTTCGATATTTGATTTCCGGGAACTGATTGAATGCATTCGATTTTGAAAGAAAATCCACATTTCTCTTTTATGTTCTGAACCAAACGAATCTAGTTAGATGATGGATGAACTCAACCCAATCATACAAAATACTTTAGGTCAATCTGGATATTATTCTACATGCTCTTTATGAATTGTTAAATTCAATCACAGAATTATAATCGTCATTGAGTTGGATGTGATAAAGGAAATGTGTGACTTTATTGGCGAGCCTGTTCCAGCAACAAGATCAGTATCAGCCGCATTTAGTGGAAACCCCCAATCCTCTATGGGGGCTTCATCCGGCAGCGGAATACTTGGTAATGTGAATGTATCTGGTGCGTCTTTTGAACAGCCTAAAGTGAATCAATCACAAGTACCGCATGTGGGATCTCATTTTAACACTCCTAATTCTTGGACAAGGTTTAACGGTTCATCTCCTGTAACTGGGTCGTATGGTGATCAGAAGATGGCATACCACAACAATGGATCAGATATTCCCAGGCCACCTCTAAATGCTTATGCTTATGCCCCTCCTCAGCCAATACATCAGCAGCCACCTTCGATGTACAGTAACAGGGGAGGACCGGTAGCAAAAAATGAAGCTCCCCCAAGGATAATGCCTATTACTGCTCTGAACCCTTACCAAGGAAGGTGGACAATAAAGGCTCGAGTTACTTCGAAAGGAGAACTTAGACACTACAATAATCCTCGTGGAGATGGGAAAGTGTTTTCATTTGATCTACTTGATGCATGCGGTGGAGAAATACGAGCAACATGCTTCAATACAGTAGCTGATCAGTTTTACAACCAGATTGAATCTGGTAAAGTATACTTCATTTCTAAAGGAAGCTTGAAACCTGCACAAAAGAACTATAACCATCTCAATAATGACTTTGAAATATTTCTTGAAAACACATCAACAATCCAAGCTTGCTTTGAGGATGACCAATCAATCCCCCATCAGCAGTTTCATTTCCATCACATTAGTGAGATTGAGGGCATGGGTAGCAACAGTGTTGTAGATGTAATTGGTGTTGTTTCTTCCATTAATCCTGCAACGTCTCTCATGAGAAAAAATGGTACCGAGACTCAGAAGAGATCCCTTCAGTTGAAAGATATGTCTGGCCGAAGCGTCGAATTGACTCTTTGGGGAAACTTTTGTCAAGCAGAAGGGCAAAAATTGCAAAACATGTGTGACTCAGGGTTGTTCCCAGTTTTGGCTGTGAAATCTGGTAGAGTGAGCGACTTCAATGGGAAGGCGGTGGGAACCATTTCAACAAGTCAGCTTTTCGTAGAGCCAGATTTCCCCGAGGCTCGTACATTAAGAGGGTGGTTCGAAAAGGAAGGAAGGAGTACTCCTTCTGTCTCCATATCCAGGGAAGTTGCTACCATGGGCAGGACAGATGTCCGTAAGACCATATCCCAAATAAAAGATGAGAGGTTAGGAACCTCTGAGAAGCCAGATTGGATCACTGTTAGTGCAACTGTTTCATTCGTTAAGGTTGATAATTTCTGTTACACAGCATGTCCTATCATGATCGGGGATCGTCAATGCAGCAAAAAGGTTACAAATAACGGAGATGGAAAATGGAGATGCGACCGGTGTGATCAGTCTGTCGACGAATGTGACTACAGGTACATATTGCAGCTGCAAATACAGGATCATACTGGCTTAACTTGGGTGACTGCATTTCAAGAAGGCGGTGAGGAGATCATGGGCTTACCTGCAAAAAGATTGTATTATTTGAAGTACGAAGAACAAGATGATGAAAAATTTGCAGAAATCATCCGTAAGGTTCTTTTTACAAAATTTATTATGAAGTTGAAAGTAAAGGAAGAGACTTTTAGTGATGAACAGAGAGTGAAATCAACTGTCATGAAGGCAGAAAGCATTAACTTTTCGACCGAGTCCAGGTTTCTTCTAGATTTGATGGAAAAGCTCAGGGCAGGGAACACCATACAAAATCCTGGAGTTTTTCGCCCCGGATTGGAGAATATAGGTGGTGGACAGTTCGTGTCGCCCATTCGAAATAGTACCAATAATGTTGGCAGAGAATATGGTACACCGAACCGAGGTGTTCAGTATGGGGACCATCACAACAGTTCTTGGCCTACTCCATCCACACTGCATAACTCGCGCACGTACTGCAACAGCTGTGGGGGATCGGGTCACAGCTCAATGAACTGTCCGAGTATCATCAGCAGCCCTGCACCATCTGTTGGAGGAGGGATGTACTTAAATCGAGTTTCAGGCTCGTCTGGTCGTGACTCTGGTGAATGCTTCAAATGCCATCAAACCGGGCACTGGGCTAGGGATTGCCCTGGTTTGGCCACTTTCCCTCCAGCTTATGGTAACAGTGGCTTCACGGCTAGGTGATGATCAGGTAAGCTTCTATCTTTTTTTTCCTTTCATTAGAAGAGATGTTGTTTTCTTGTACAGCTTTTGCTTGGAAACTGTGTTTTGGATCTTAAGATAATCTGTAAGCATAGTTCCCTTGTGTTGATGGCTGCGTTTATATTTTGATAAGTTATCTTTGTAACACTATTTTAGTTTTCTTTTTTATGTAAATTTGTCTCAGTTTCCCTTTGGTATATAGTTTAGTCGCAGTGTATTTCATTCTTTGATCAAATAATAGTAGTTTGGGACAGGTTTTCTTGTTTGCTTTATGCAGTTTTATCAAGAGCTTAATTCATGAACGGTTGTTTACTTTATGCTGAGTCAAGCAATTTGCTTATCAAAGTTCTAGGTACGATTCCACGTCGATTTGGAGAGGGAATTGCTTGACAAAGTTCTAGGTACGATTCCACGTCGATTTGGAGAGGGAAAAAGATCCTACATTTGTTGGAGAGGGAAAGAGATCTTACATTTGTTGGAGAGGGAAAGAGATCCTACATTCTTTACAAGGGTGTGGAAACCGAAACCTTTCTCCAGAGAGGGCATAAGGGTGTGGAAACCGAAACCTTTCTCCAGAGAGGGCATAAGGGTGTGGGGTGGGGAAACATAAACCTCTCTCCAAAGAAGGGAATGAAACAACATTGTTTACAAGGGTGTGGAAACAAAAGGGTGTGGGGTGGGGAAACATAAACCTCTCTCCAAAGAAGGGAATGAAACAACATTGTTTACAAGGGTGTGGAAACAAAAACTTCTCTCCACGTAGAGGAGGAACGAAACATTATTTATAAAAGTGTAGAAACCGGGAATGAAATGAAATTGAAATATTCTTTATAAGAGAGTAAACCTGAGAATGAAACATTCTTGGAAACCGGAACGAAACA